CAGGCCCGGGCCACCCTTGTCGGGGGGCCCAGGCTCCTTGGGTGGCCGGGGAGGTCCTGGGGGGTCCCCCGGTTTGCGGCCGTGCTTGCGGAAGTAGCGGTAGCGCTGGACGTAGGCCCGTACCAGGTTGCTCACCTTCACGGGGTTGATCTCCCCACTTTTGCTGTGGCAGATCTGAGGAACAAGGGGCACCTGAGTCACAGCCACCACCCAGGCCCCTTCCACCCTGGACCGCCGAGCACAGCCTGGGCTGGGGGTCGCTCTCCCAACCCAGGCCAACACCACCACTTGTCCCCCTCGACAACGGGCTTCCCCCGTGCCAGCAGCACAGGCCGGAGTGGCGCTGGTGAAACCCCCTCCTCACCTGTCCCTCGTCCGTCCCCCGCACCCCACCTTGTGGACGGCCTTCCTCAGGATGTCCTTGTACTCCTCCTTGGTGATGTCCTTTTTCTGATAGTACGGCTTGATGGCCAGTTTCACCTCCTCCACTGCCCGCTCCTGCGTGTGCAGCTTCTTCAGATACTAGCAGGTGGCGACACATGAGAGAAAGGACAGCGAGGACTTAATGGAAGGTGGCGGTACCGCAAGGCCCACTCGCCTTCGCCCTCCAGCTCAGCCACCCTTGGGCTCTACCCTGTGCACCCTCTGCTGGAGTCACTGCAGGACCCGCGTGCCCTACCCTCACAGCCCAGTGGGGAGATAAACGCAGCCCTGAAGTCACCACTGTTTTGAATCTGACCTTTCAGGACTGCTCTGAGTGTGGAGAAAACCATCACAGAGCCGTGGTGAGAGCCGGTCTCGGCTCTTGCAGCCCCGCCCTGGCTCCCGATGGACAGGGGCTGAGCAGGGGCTGAGGGGCACTAAGGAGGGGCGCAGGCGCTGCCCGAGCTCAGTGGCCAGCAGGAGCTGGCTGAGCACAGTGGTGGAGACAGCGCAGTGGCACTGAAATCCTGCTCCACCATTACACAAAGCTGAACCTCGTGGCTCATCTGAAAAACGTGACCACACTATGGGGAGGGCAGGCCACAGCCAGACACAGTCAGTCCAGTTGTGCTCACTGGACAGGGAACTCAAGTCCTTGCAAAAGCAGATGGCAACCAGGTGTGGTGGTCCCCCACGCTTGCAATCCCAGCACTCAAGAGGCTGAGGCAGGAGGATCGTCAAGCGTTTTGAAGCCAGCCTGGGCCAAAGCCAGTCTGAACTGTGTAATGAGCATCTGTCTCCTAAAAAAGCAGATGGGACTCTCCAGAGGGCAGAGGGGAGCAGGCATTCTGCAAGCACAAGGGACAGACAGTCCTTCAGCACCTCCCAAGCCAAGTGAGTGTGCCTCTGTCCGAGCTGAAAAGGTAGTGGCAGCAGGCAAGATCCCAGGAAGGCGGCCTGAGGTGACCTTCCCCAGCCAGCCAAATAGGAAGAGCGTTTCCAAGACAAGCAGCCCAGATGCCTATCTCAGTGGCAAGAGGAGAAAAGGGGCAGCAAACAGACCAGGCAGCCAGACTGGAGGAGGGAGGGTCCCTACTGTCCTGGCCTACAGAACATGGTGTGGTGTGGCCAAGGGACCAGCTCAGCTATGGCCCCGTCCGCATGGCTCCCAAGGGACATTCACGGGTGCCCTTGCCACGAGGCACGGAAGGGGTATGTGATGCTGTCCATTGGCTCTGCAGGGGCTGTGGGGTGGGAACAAAGGCCTCCGCCCTGACCTAGAGGAAAAGAGCCCTGGGAGCTGGGAGGGGGCATGAAGCCTAAATCTGCAATCACCCAGCAGCCTTCTCCCTTTCCCAGAAGAGGTTCTTGCCTTTTCTCTGGAAAACCTCCCTCTCCCACTTCCACAGAGGAAGAGAGCAAGAGAGGGGGAGAGAAAGACAGGGAGGGAGGCAGAGAACAATGGGTGATCGGGGCAGACAAGCGTAGGTGGTGTCTGGAAACCTGTGTACGTGCGTGGGTGTTTATACACATCACACATACACATACACAGGTCTACAGCGTTTTCTTTCAAACTTAGCCAGCACCTTTTCCCCACTCATCCGTCCCAGCAGAAGTTTTGTTCCTTACAAGGTAATGACTGACTAATCCACCTCCCCAAGGGCAGCTCACCTTGTCAGTGTCCCCACGTCCCTCAGAGCTACTGCTGCCTTCTCTCTTGTCAGACGCAGCAGCCAGCCCAGTGGGGGTTGGCGGGGTGGAGCCACAGCCTCCCAGAGGGAGGCTGCCAGGAAGCAGGTAGCTGGAAGGGCCAGGGGGCAGCCCCAGAGAGGTGGGCACAGGAGCTGGGGTCACCCCTAGACTTGAGGGTGGCTTCCGGTGGCTGAGGATCTGTGGAAAGAGGAGGGCAGTGAGCTAACGTATGTAGAGGGAAACAGGAACTTGCACCCCACAGTTCTTACTCTAACTTCCCAACAATCCCAGGGCAACAGCTTCCTCTTCTGGCTAATACCTTGCCCCAAGGCCTGCTGGGAGTTGTAGTTCCTCTCCTCACCCAAGGCAACGGACAAAAAAAAGGGGCTATGAGGACACTTCCCCAGGGAAGCCCACCTGGTTGGTGGCCTGGATCAGCTCTTGAGCCTTTGCTCTGCTGGCCAAATTGGCCTCTTCCATCTTGAAGAGAAGTGCAGTCACTACAGGAAACAGAGAAATGAGATGGCCTAGCCCCCTGCTGCCATCTCCCACCCTGGCTCCCAGTGAGGCCTTGGAGCCTCCCACTCAGAACAGGATAAAGGGGCCTGGCCCCTGATAGAATCACCTCATTCCCTGAATGTTCTTGGGACTCAAGGTGTACATGTTGCCAGGGGATGGCGGGATGACGCCCGAGTTACACCTCCCCTTCCTGTGCGGTCTGACAGAGACTATGGGACCCCCAAGGGACAGAGCCCTGCTCAATTCATCCTCTCCCGTCCTTCCGTCCTAGTCTGGCTCTCTGCAGACCCCAGCTCTGCCTGTGCTGATTGCCAGCTGTTTGTACCTGCCCCCTCTCCTGGCACCCCCAGACACCAAGAAGACCCGCAGAATCACACGAGCGGACCACCCAGCACTCCATACCTACCCCTTCAAGTATCTCCACTACTGCCGGCCCACCTCCTCCCGATCCTGCCCCAAGGACACTCACAGGCCAGGACTCCACTGGTGGTGCAGTCCACACCAGCCGGCAGGTTCCAGGGCATGGGTGGGGGCAGCGTGGGCAGCTGGGAGACTCGGGTCGCCAGCCCGTCCTCTGCTCCCGAGTCTCCGGCAGTGGACCCTGCACTGGGGGCAGCATTTGGGGCGGCTGGTGCTGTGCTGGTAGCTGTGGTGGTGGCAGGCTGCTGCTGCTCTTCCTCCTCCTCCTCCTCCTCCTCTTCCTCCTCCTCCTCCTCCGCCCCACCTCGGATCCCAGCTTCCTCAGCGGCCTCCTCAGGCAGGAAGGAGACCTCAGGTGTCTTGCAGCTACTGTCCACAGTCTGCGAGTCTGGGGTGAGTGCTGGGGGTGGAGGGGCTGCCTTGGGGGGCGGGGTGCTAGGGGCCTTGGCAGCCCGGTCCTCCCCAGACCAGGAAGTCTCCTCAGCCCCCTTGGCCCCAGCTGCCTGGCTGCAGCTATCCGCCTTGGACTTCTTCAGCGACACAGGGCCACCACTGGCCCCGCTGCTGCCCCCACTGCGGATCTTTTTCCTGGTCTTAGATGGCTTGGTCTTTCCCTTGGTCCCCTTGGCTTTCTTGGCCCCCACCTTGGCCTTGACCTTGGTCTTTTTGGGCTTGGTGCTGCCTGGGGCAGCTTTGGCCGCCTCTGCAGGAGCCCGTTCGTCAGGCTTCAGGAAGGGGGAGCGGCTCTCACGGTCACGGCTAAATTTGACCCCGATAGAGCCCAGGCTGGCAGAGGCGGAGTCCTTTGCTGGGGTGGTGCTGCTGACACCCTCTCGGATGAGCACGGCCACCTTGGATTGCAGCTTCACCTTCCGAGAGGAACAGGAGGATGAGGAGGACGAGGAGCCTGAGCCACTGCTGATGGGTGGCTTTGGCGGGGGCCCTGAGGAAGGTGCTGTCTCCTTGGGAGGCCGGGCCTTCTTGGATGACCTGTCCCTGTCCCGATCCCCCCCATCCGGGGCCTTCCTACGAGACCCCTTCTCCCGCGAGGAGGAGGAGGAGGAGGCAGCCCCTGAGCGCCGGCGGTCCTTCTCGCTGCTCTTGCCCCTGCGTTCCTCCCCACTCAGTCCCTCTGAGTCGTACAGAACCTCGCGCTTTGGTGAGGCGGCGGGCACCGGGGAGGGTCCTCGGGGGTCCGGC